GTTCAGGTTGATGCAGTTCACGAGACCTCCTCTCTCGTTTCGGGTGAAAATGGGCTGAGCTTTCGTCCATCATTCGATGGACATCATCAGAACTGGAACTCATTCTTCTAAAAGTCTCAGGTTAACTTTAGGTCAAGAAGACTATCCTGTTCTATCTTACCTCTTATTTTACTCCTAAATAAAAACAAAAATAAATAGGCATAGATAGATATATTATCGTTTGACTAATCATCTTTTATACTGGTTCTGCTACTTTTGTTCGAGTGTGTATTTCTATGTGTGTATGTAAAAGCTACACGCAATACCGGTGCTAAATCAGAGTGATCAGGCTCTGGTCGCCAAGGCTTAGTGACCCAAGAGAAAGCCCTGACCGAGACTGCGTAAGTCCTTAAGCAAGTATGCTTGAGATAATTAGGTGTAAGATTGTAAGTGTGCAGGTCAAGTTACGAAACCACTTATCTTAACCTTTCAGTTTAGGGTCATTAACGTTTAACCACCCAAGAAAAGGCATGACTGAGGCTGCGTAATCTGACATGTCTGGTTTGGTTGATCAGCTTAATCTAACATGTTGGACGAGTGTGCGTGAAGTTAGAACCATCATCGTGCAGACAAGTTGAGTCGCCGTCCAAAAGAAGGCGACTCAACAACCTCTCTCTTCTCCAATCTATCAATCCAGCATAAATAGTTTATACTCAACTTTCTACCAGCGTTCCTCACATTCTACGTATTTCTTAATCTGTTAATTTCTTTCTTTTAACCACAGACGTACTGTAATCAGCAAACCTACTAGTTTTAAACAATTCTATTTCATGTCCAGTTTCTACCACATGTTCAGCAACTTCTGACCGTTTTACCCAGCTTCCTTTACAAGCATTTTCGTGTGCTCCCAATCTTTGTCGAATAGGTCGGCATGTCTCACCAACGTAATATTGTAGCAGCCGGACCTCGATAATGTGTCATATTTATTTATAAAAGATGGCATAACCGAAGAAAGTGTGAGGGTTTCTTTCAACACTGATTTTATCTCCCACCTTCTCACTGGCTTTCCTATCTTTTTTGAAAGAAGGCATGACCGCAAAATTAAGACATGAGAAAAGGTCTCATTTTGTCTGTATTTGACTAAATACATTTAGTCGGAAAAGTTATTCCTCAGTAAATAAATATATTATTTTCAATTATGCCCAAAGGATAACTATTGTCCAGGAATGACTTTTCCAGTTGTTCCAACTCTTTAGTCAAATGCTTGTTATCCGCTAGTTTCATACTACTAATAATCATTTATTTCATAATTACAACCTTAGTTTTCTGACTATGGTTGAAAAGACAATTTAGAAAAGAGCCAGCATACGTTCGCTTGTCATAAACATCTCTTCTTAAATTATTCTTTTCTCTAATAACCAGAACATCCAAAAAGGCTAAGGACCTATCCTCTCCTATTGCCATTGTGAACCTAATGCTCCTTTCACATTATTTACGATAGGAAACTATAGAAGTTTTCTTTCCCACGAAGGCAGATCACAAAATAGTCATTCATGTAGCTAACCAACAATTTTGGAGTTAATATTGCCTGTTCCAAATAGTGTTCATCAAGTTTGGCCATATAGTTGCTCGCCAAGATGGGAGTTAGCATGATACTATCGCAAATCCTTGTGTCTGTTCATAAAATTTGCCATCATAGGTAAATAAATAAGATAAGAAGTCTAAGAATGGAAGTTATACTTAACATTATTCCTTCTTTATCCTCTGGATGCTACTCCAGAGTTTGAGCCTAAATGGCTCCATGAACAGGAATATTTGTGTCCGTAGACATAACATCAAAACTTACTAGCCTATCCTACTCTGAAAATATCTTCTGATCAATCAAGTTCACAAACTTACAAGAATTATTAACTAAATATAGCCAAAGTCCGCAGCCTTTCATAGTTGTATGCATAGAAAATGTGAGGTTTAATGCATCTCGCCTCCTTTTTATTTATTATTAAGCTAAGCGGAACATGCTCTTTGTGACCCTTATAGAGGTCGTAAGCCGTGGAGGCTTTTGCATCTCTCTGAAGTATGGAATTCCTTTTCCACTTCTCCATTTCACCATTACTAACGCACACCTTAAGGGCATCCTTCAGGCCAGGCTTAGGTCTTTCTGTTGGATCTTTCAGCAAAGGCCTATACGTGCCAGTGTCATTGAAATGAACTAGAATCTATTCTACATAACTTGACCTAGCCATGACTACCATTGCTCCACCTTTGTAGACTTTTTTAACAATTAGCTTATTGTGATTTCAACATCCAAAACCCTATTTAGAAAACAAGATTGCTTTGGCGTGATTAATTTGTCAAAATGAGGAATCACTTCCGACTCACTACTATTCTTCATCTCTTCAGGCAATCTATCAGATGAGCTAATTAATTCAACGAGTATGTTCAGAGAATGTCTTACTTTATTTGGAAGAGCAAAATTCAATCCTATTTCCAATAAAAGTTTTACACTATCCTCCAGAGTTATACTGAATAAATCGATTAACTTATCCTTACCCAGTCTGTTATAAACATGGTTACTATTACTTAGCTTAGGCACAAAGGAGATTAAAACAGATACAAGTTAGTCGACGTATAGGAACAATATAGTGAATAATAAAAATTAAAACGAATTTAGTTCTATTAATTTGCCAGGCAATAGCTATCGTGTAGCGAGAAGAAAATTGATAAGTCGTTAAACCATACGTACAATGTAGGTACAAAGAATAGCTTGGTTTCAATTAATCTCCTGAGATTGCATTGTTGGGGAAACCTACATTTCGTATGAAAGTGCATGGAGAAGAGATTCCTAGGTTTATCTCACCAAAAAGACGACGTTCATGCTTAACGCAATGTCAACTCAATTGTAGTTTAATGAGATGTATTCACCCTATTTCGTGTAAGGTGATGAAGGACTGGTAGTAGAATTTTCCCACATCTCATTACATTGATTTACTGGTAGTCTCGAAACCCTACTTACTTACGAATATAAGTAGCGTTGTCGATTGCTGTATCAAACATACGTTTGCTTCATCGGTACTCCCAACAAAGAGTATGATATAGCTGAGGCCTGACCGTCCTTGAAACTCACTTATGCCCAGTGACTCAAGGGTACTCTTGGCAGTGTAGCCGAGTGGTTAGCGTGTCAAGCTACCGTCCTGCACTGTCGT